GATTATGTATTATGTGTTTCTATATCACAATCTTCAGGAATAACCTTTTAACAAAGTGAATAAATAAACCATAATGGGTTTCTTGCCCTTTACTAAGCAAAATATCAAGAACTTCTTTCTGCAAGGGCAGAGGTTAAATAACTCCTTTATTTACTAATGATAAAGTTAATTGTGTGGAACCTAATTCTACTGGGTTGGAAAAAGAATTTTTCTTTTAACTAACACTTGGCTCTCACCCTGATTTTTTTTTTAATACCATAATTCTTCCACTGAAGCTCTGCTTCTCCATTTTTGTGTGCTTACTCCATGGTCAGGTAACTCCCTGTTCAAAAAAAAATAGAAAGCTGCTTCTAGAGTTTTAACAAATTCATGATTGCAAGCAAAACACCAAATATATTCCATTTAAAATGGCTAGTTAAGAACAGTAAGTAACTATTCTTTATTGGTCCTGCCCAGACTAGTGGTTCCAAGATCCATTAATAGTAAATATTCCTTATTTTCCCTTTCACTGGGTTGAACTAAACAAGGGGTGCCATTCTGTAACTAATTATAAAATAGACCACATTATATAAGAATTAAAGACAACAAATGAATCATCTGGAGGGCTGCACAGTTCTGCACACACTACATGTGAACTTTAATATATAATTTTCATCACATAATTCTTCCCAGTGAACCCTTCTCATTACTTCGCTGTGTGCGTGTGTGTGTTTCTTTTACCTCGATTACAAAGTCAGACCATTTTAGCTGAAATTAAAAATACCTGTGTATTTAGAGAGAAAACACGGAGCTGTGTTTTGATAAGGCCTCCAGAGGAGGAGGGCCAAATGTAGGCCTGTAAGAAAGGAGACCCTCCTGGTTTTCGTATCAGACACCGGCTAACGAAATCCTAAGAGGGTTGGTTACATGAGCCAGTGGGCTGAGGCAACCTCGAACATGCAGGAAACTGGAGTTAATTAAACCGTTACTGGGATCCTATCTGTCATCCTGGCCGCGTGCTCCATCCCAAGTCCATTTACATTTTAGAATTGAAAAAATGTTCCCCTGGACTGTTGATAAACCATGTTTACTGTCCCTATTGATGTGCTACTTTTGCATAACCTTTATGTTTTAATTATCTTATAGTACTTCTTGAAGGCTCGTCTGTAGCAGTTGCTATCTGATTAGACTTTACTGGCAATTACGAAACACTGGGAGTACAGCTCTTAATGGATTAATCTGCTTCAAAGTTATTAGATGACTGCAGGAGTGAAACTGCTAAGGAAAAAATAATGTTACATTACCGAAAGGCTGTTTTCAAACCACCTTTGTGCTTACTATGAAGGAAACATGCTCAGCTTGTTTGCCTGCTTTATTCAGTTCCAATTGGGGGTATTATTTGGTATTATTTGTATTCTGTGACAGACAGGAAACCATGCTTTTTTTCTTATTAAAAGTTACTAAAATGTTATCAACACACAGTGTGTGTTGATAACATTTTACCTACCCTGTATTGAGCACTTCCAATATATCTGGGCACTGTCCTAAGAGCTCATTGCCCAGAGCATTTCATGACCATGGGGTAATAGTAAACCATTTCACATAGGAAGACAAAGCAGCACAGAGGTGAGAAGGCATTTGCCGGAGGTCACAATGGTCTGCAAGTGGATTTCCAAATTAGGGTGTCTAATTCTAGAACTCTGTAGAGGGTTTTGTTTGTTTTTCAAGTGTGATTCATCCCAGAGAGCAAGGATGGTTTAATATGCTTCAACCTATTAATATAACACATCATACTAAAAAAACAAAACAAAATATTAAAAGTCACCTGACAGTATCAGTAAAGGCATAGGAAGCATTTGATAAGACTCAGTACTCACTTAGGGGTACCTTTGTCTTTGCAATCAGTTTGCTTTTCTTATTAGTGATTGGTTTCTACCCACAGTTTACAAACCAGAAGGGAAAAAGAATGATCCCAAAGGGGAGGCTACATCTCTAGTAGTTGGGCTGTCACCTTAGCAAGTTTTCCTCGGAGTTCATTCTTTCCAGGCAGCACTGACGAGCTAAGAGAAGGTGCTTCTTCTCCTTAAATGACTTGGTCTGTTTAGAGTTAAGACTGACTTAGAAAGCAGCAGTCGGAGCTGGGCTTTTAGCAGCTCTCTGCAATGATTCTGGGGCAGGCTGACCCTGGGCGCAGCTCCTCAACCCAGACGCAGCCCTCTGGTGGAGAGTGTGGCATGGCCACACAAAAAAGCATGGCGCTTCTCCTGCAGTTCAAGTTCGCTCTTTAGGAAGTCATTTAAAATATCAAAGCAACACTTGAGCATATACTGCGATTGACAATAAGTTACTCAAGAATTTTTAAGATAAAACACCAAATTTTAAAGAAATACTGAGCTTTAAACAGGTCTCTTTAGGCTAAAGCCCTTCTCGTTCCCCAGGAGACACACACCCCTGTTTCTCTGCCCTCATAAGGACTTGGGGGGCAGGATGGAAGGAGTCCTGTGCTGTGTCTGGTGCTCCCAAACGCCTTCATCTACATGGCCCTCTCTCTCTGCTTCTGGACCCTTACAGCCTTGTGCACTTAGCTTTGAGTTGGGGTTCACAAAACTTGGGAGTCTGCAATGCTGTTGTTAACCCTACTTTTAAGAACCCCTTCCTTGGAGCTTTCTCTCCAACCCATAATAAAGCTCAGATTCCACCCCTTCTCACTTCAACATAAACTTATGTTACCCTGATTAAATAGAATACTAGATAATAAAAAAATTAGTATAGAGTCTTATTTGTGTTTTAGAGGTACAGGATACCTTTTTCAGGTGTTAT